ACGACGAGAAGAAGAAGGGCAAAGTCCATCATTTTCACCATTTTAAAAAAACTTGTGATGATGAAGAATTACAAAAAACTGCCTCCTCTGTAAGATTTTCTACTTCCTTCAACTCTGTTTTTTTTTTTTTTTTTTTTTTTTACCATTTCATCATTAATATCTTTGTGTTGTTCTTTAACCATCCCTCAATTAATTTTCTGCATTTTCGATTTTTTGGGTTAATTATACTCTGAAAAATAATGTTTAATGGTGAATTGAGTGAAATTTTAAATGGGTTTTAAAGTATTGATTCGATTAAATTGACATGAACTGGGAAAAGGTGTAAAATTTTCTGCTTAATTTCTTCAGATATTTAATTTGACTTGGTTTTTACTCTCAACATCAAATTCTTGGTGTTGTTCTTTGGTTTTCTCTTATTATTATGAAATTTTCGTGTCCTGCTTTGTTCAAGTGATTACTGAATTCCGAGTTTCGTTAATGGCAGATTAAGCAAAAGAAATACCCAGATTAAGCATTTCTTTTGTTGGTTCATCATGGTTTTTCTTGATTTAAATTTGTCAGTATCATGGTTTTCTTGTAATGTAGCTAGACTTTTAAAGGTTGATTAATTTCTGTGTTTTTCAGTCTAATCCTATATCTGTTGAGGAAGATCCTGCAACGGAGGCTCCTGATATTGATCAACAATCTCTACGAACTCGACCGAGAAGTCCAACTGATGCAGAACCTGAACCTGATTTGAAAAGACCCAGATATGACAGCAGTCCATTTGATAGTGCCCTTCTTGATCTGAATTCTCTACTAAATCAAACTCTTGAAACGACGGCGAGTCTGGCTGTTTCTGAACCCCTACTACAGCCACCAATTGAGTTTGAGTTTCCAAAACTAACCCCACCAATTCAGATACCAAATCTACCTATATTAGAGTCATTTCTGCAGCAGGAAATTTTTACTGCCAAAACATCTGAACCAAGCAGTGTGGAGTATATTCCTGGAATTGGCCCTCCTGTACCCATTGGTGAAAGGCCGCCTAGGCCACCTAAACCACCTAGACCGCCTAAACCACCTAGACCACCTAAACCACCTAGACCACCTGCATCAAAGCCGAGACTAGAGTTGGGGCTTCCTCAACGCGATCAAACTAGTACTACCAATTCTGGAAGCCAAAGTTCAGTTCCTAATGTTGGTATAAAATTGGGAGCTGGAGTTTATACTATAACTAGTTCAGGTATGCTTGAGGTGTTGAGAACCTTAGTTACATGATATGGTTTGTCTTTTGTGTTAGGTTAATTAGCACTTTGTTAATTACTTGAATTCCACTAATTGTCATTGCTGAATTATAGCTGTCTAGACTATTGAGTTTGTTTATTTTCAACTTTTTTTTTTTGCATGTTTTTGAAGTTATTTAGAATTTGTAATCACGAGGAAATTGCTTATATTACACCTATATTGCAAGCACTTTGGTTTGGGATTAATATTTTCGAGTAATAACTGAAGCCATAACAAAAAGTCTTTACCATAAAATTATCTTTGTTAAAAGAAAGTTGTTAGTCTACACTTTGACAAAGGAAGGGCTAACAATATACAATAGTAGAAAAAAAGTTTATACTTGTTTTCAAATGAATATTCAGATATGTTTCCTGAATGATATGTGTTTGATGATTGAACTATGCTCGATCTTGCTCTTTATTTTAAATAATATATCTGTTGAATTTGTTCATTGCGTAGCCAATATTTTTTTTTTTTTGACGAACATTAGTCATGAATCTAATGCTATTATATTTGGCAAAATGTGTAGCTCAACAACAAATAATGCAGCAAACTCCCCCTCCTGGAGCCAACCATCCCTCAATTTCTCCTCAAACAGCACAACAAATGAAAATCTACGCGTCTTCTTTATTTCAGTCATCTCGAGGAACTATTTCACAGCCAGAGGAATCCATAACTTGCATGCGAAGGCTGGAAGATGAGGTCAATAATCTGAAGGGTATTGTTGATCGCTTGCTATCTGAACTGGCTGATTCCAATATCCGCATTTCAAAGCTGGAGGCTGAGGTAAAGAGTCTGAAGGGTAACAATGATGGCTTGCAACCTGAACTGTCTATTTCCCTGCCAGAAGCTGAGTTCGGAATGTTATCAGAGGGACATATTGCAACTGATGACATAAGCTGTAGTTCGGTTGATGGGCAGATAAGGCCTATTCCTGCAGTTGATGCAGAGGCGCCTCCTGATATATTTGCTAGGAGTGGTCTTGGTTCCACCTTAGGGAATGATGCTGAGTCCGAGGGACCGGCCACAATAGCTGCTGGAGATTGGTTATTTGCAGCTAATACATACAGAAACAAGGCAACTACAGAATCAGATGAATTGCAAGATGCAAAGGCGAAGAATGTTAATACTTCACAAGATGACATAAGCTGTAGTTCAGATGATGGGCAGATAAGGCCTATTCCTGCAGTTGATGCAGAGGTGTCTTCTGATATGAGAGATAGGATTAGTCCTGGTTCCACCTCAGGGAATGATGATGAGTTTGAGGGACTGGCCACAATTGCTGCTGGAGATGGGTCAACTGCAGCTATTACAGACAGAAGCAAGGCTACTACAGAATCAGATGAGAAGGCGAAAAATGCTAATACTTCCCAAGATGACAGCACTCAATAGGACTAATATCTTGGAACCTTAATCTTAATTAACAGTGCAGAATAATTCCATTCTGTAGATGTATTTCCTGATGTCCCAAGTTGATTTCATTTAAGTTGGAATCGAGTTTAGACAAGGGGAAAATAGGAGACTAAACAATGAAAGCAGTACAGGACTTTTCCTAGAATTTGCTTTGCAATCAAGCAGGTGTTATCAGAATTGTTTTGTACAGAACAAAAGGAGCCACTTTGTATGTAATGTGAAGCACAGAAAATACAAACACAAATAATACTCAGTTAGCATAAATAGCAGAAGCTATATACTATATTATGATGTAAGTGTATGCTTTTCTTTTGTAGGATACATAGAATATAATTGATCACTACTACAAATCTGCAATATTGTTGTAGAATGTTATGGTGTAAGTGTATACTTGTCCCTATTATTGCTTTTCTTTCTTGTATAGTTGTATAATTAATTAGGATTAAGAGACTGTATAGAATGTTTTTTTCCCTTTGATTTTGTTTGCTAGATTTTAGAGTATACACTTACATGCATAAATTATTTTATATTTTGGATGGTCAACTAGTTTCGTTGGTTAAACTTTTAGACTTTAGCGTGATCAAATTTTAAAAACTATCAACTTAGAATAATTTTATTACTATTGTTTGCATTGTCTTTTCACATTGAAGTCGTCTCGAGTGATTGATACTCTTATTTTCAAGTTATATATAGAACAATAAAATGCATGGTTAACATTAAAGTGAGAACTATCCCTCTTTTCATTATTTTCATCCATCTCTATGAACCTCTACAATTGTATTCCAAACGTGATGACATTGTTGCCATATTATCTACTATGTACTTCTTAAAAAGTAGGATTTGATCAATTGTTTCTCATAAAAAATTATGTGTCCTCCCAAATGTCAAACTTATGATATACAATTGTATATGTATATTGTAAAGAGTAAATGACTAAAGATACTTTAAACAACATACATTATGTCCATTCTTAATGTCTTTTATTTACACTTTGATTATTATGAAATTATATTTAAATTACACTTTGACCATCATTTGTAATGTATACATAAAGAAAAAATATATATAGTCATGTAATACTTGTTAAATTTGACTCAAAAATATGCTTTTGGAATACATAATTAGATATATAAATAATTAAGAATCTACATGGATAAACATGAAAAAAGAAGAACCCAAATTAATTAGTACGGAGTACATAACTAAAGCTAAATAGATCAACAATTTGTTTTTCAAGATTGAGCTTTCACCTTTTATGCCATCCACCAATCCAGTTCAATCCGTTGACTACACTGCCACACAAAGAAGAAATTAAAATAACTATAACTCAACTTTTTCTATGACCATCCCCCACTCATTTCACTAATATTTAGTTCTTTGGTTTAGACTTCTGCGACACCAAGATGAACATTTCAAAAACAGATTGACAACAATACAGGAATTGAAACAAATCAACACGAAATTCTACATATTTTTCAGATTTTTCCTATATTTACAAATTAAAAATCTTGAACTTTATTTTATACGAGCATATATGTAAATAATAAAATGACACCAAAAATGCTTATAAAATAGCAACATCTCGAAAGAAAATCAACAGCGATCATATGGAGCCAATAGGCAACAATATTTAATTTTTTTTTTTTTTTTAGAAACACAACAATATTTGTATTAGTTGCACATAACACAATTTGATCACTTTTTATGGCTTTAGCTTACAATTTCAATACTCCCTCTCATAAGTCACACACACATTAAGTTTAGACCAAAAAAACAAACACACATCAAGTACTTTTTACTCTAGAAGAACATGAAAACGAGTACATTCTAACGTTTTCACTTTTCTTCACTTATAATTTTTTTTTTTAACAGAATAAAAATGATAGATTAAACTAAAAGAAATTCCCGTATTTAAAAATAAAAAAAATAAAAAATAAAAAATAAAAATAAAAAAAGCATACTACAAATAATGTTCAAATAAAAAGGTTGCAATCTAAAGAAAAAAATGTTAAATTTCTATAATTATACGGAGTATTAATAAGAAAATGGCCGGGTTGCAAACTAGCAACATGGGAGAATAACTTTCCTCCATTTTCCATCACCCATTTCCCACATTTTTATGTTTTAAACTTGCATCCATAATTCAATTAAAATCACCTAAGAAATAAATATATAAATCTTTTTTTTTTTTCTGTCAAAAAAAAAAAAAAAAAAAAAATCTCTTCTATTTTTCAAGTGGGAAATAAATCACCTTTTTTTGGATTTTCTTCCAAATAACTCCACTCCAAACAAATTAAAAACCCCCCAAATTTTTAGTCAATTTCATTTTAGCCACCCCAATAATCCTACCAACAAATCCCCCACAACTCCATTAAAAAATAAAAATCTCCTCATTTTCTCTCTCCTCCCTTTAAATAAAATCCCCATCAATGGCCACAAACCACCACACCAACCACCGTCCACCACCACCAACACGGCAGCACAAAGTCTGCTTCTCGGTCGCCGCCTACGCGAAAACCGTAATCACCTCCCTCAAAACCTCCAACATCCACGTGGCAGCCGGACTCACCAACGACGAAATCACCACCGTAGAATCCGCCGGACATTTAACATTCCCCTCCGACCTCCGATCAATACTCTCCGAAGGCCTTCCTGTGGGCCCAGGCTTCCCCAACTGGCGCTCCTCCTCAACCTACCAGCTCCGCCTCCTCACCGCCCTCCCTATCATCTCTCTCTCCCAAGAAGTTTCTAGAAACAACTTCTGGGTCCCATCTTGGGGCCCTCGGCCCACTAACGAGGATCAGGCCCAGTCATTGGCCCAACATTTCCTCTCCAAGGCCCCGTCCCTTGTCCCCGTGTTTCGGCACTGTTATATTCCGGCTGAGCCCAATTTGGCGGGAAACCCCGTGTTTTACGTGCATGGGAGTGACGTCAGATTATTGAGTGCTGACGTGGGCGGGTTTTTTAAGGAAACGGAGTTTTGGAGAAAAGACTGCGTTTGGAGGACACGGAGGAGTAACAATAAAAATAATACGACCCCAGCGTGGGCCCAAGAAGCAAGACGTGTGGAGTTTTGGACCGAGGCAGCAGCGCGTGAGATCGCGTGTAGTAAATGGTGGACCGACGAGCTGAATGGTTGTATCGATGAGGTGATGTGGCGGTTGAGGGATGGAGGGTGGGCCGAGGATGACGTGAGGGAGATGATGATGATGGACGGTAAAGGTCATGGTCGCGATGAAGGGGTGGTGTCCACGTGCGTGAAAGCAAGTGGGGTGAGTGGTAAGGAGGGTGCTGTGAAGCACGTGAGGAAAATGTCGCGGGAGTTGCTGAGAGGTGGTTGGAGTATAGACGACGTCGTTTATTCGTTGAGTGATGAGTGTGGAGAAATAGAGAGTGGGATACTTGATGATGAAGCTTGGGTTGAGTTGATAACTCCGTGATTTCATGCAAAAAATGATTAGCAAATCATAGAAAAGAATTTGGGGAAAATGTTTGCTTTTTGGTGGGATTTTATTGGGATACAATTTTGTAATATTCTAGGATCGATCATATCATAGGTTATAAAAATATATGGACCCACATGTAGATATAATAAGTCACATAGATTTTTGATGTTTGTTGATTTCGTCTTTCTCTTTTTGTTTTATTTTGTTTTTAAAATTAGATGTAGCTTGTTTCATTGTATCTTTGATATCTTATGAAGTGGCCACTATTACAACTACTGTATAAGCTATCTCATGAGATTTACATGTAGAACAATATCATGATTTTGTAAAATAGAAGATAGTAATCAATAGCATATTGTCTTACAATCTTATTATGACTTCATGATTCATGAATCACATCTCTTTTACTATGGCTGATTTGCAACAGCACACACAACAAACAAATATGGCAATGCAACTAACAAGATTGTATCTAATCTCATATTCTCATCATATATTTGTTACTCTCATAAGTTTACAAGTCATATCTATTCTCATATCTCGTCACAACCTTCCGTGATATTTTGGACTCAAAAGGGCCAGTTGTTTTTCGCAGTTCAACTTAATTATATGGACCATGAATCCATGATCAACTTTACATGTATTTTTGTGGAATAATATATCATGATTTTTTTTTTATATATATATATATTTACTTTTTTTTTGTAAAATGTAAGTAAAAGTTATACTTCTCTCGTTTCTTTTTAGTTGACACGTTTCTTTAGATTAGATTTGAACTGAACTAAATTGAACTGATTGGAGCTGAACTAAACTGAACTGAGCTGAAATGAATATTTTATGAGAGAGGGAAATTAAGAGCTGAACTAAACTGAACTGAACTGATTGGAGCTGAACAGAACTGAAATTAAGTAAATGTGAATAGACCCTTAGTCACGTTTGCCAATGCACAAATTAAATCATTAATATCTTTAATTACCGATAAACAAAAATTATAAAAAGTGAAATTATGAAAGTATACATTATTGTTAGATAATAGGTTAATATTATCTTGTTAATATTCTGTAAAGATATATCTTGTGTAATTAGGTTTCTCATGACTAGATTATTGTAAATCAATATATATTGAATTAATGAGAATGTCTCCGATAAGGAGAATTACACTATTCTACATGGTATCAGAGCCCTACTAGGGTTTACATTTGATTATATTATGATGAATCTAACAATATCTCACTTGATTATATTTTTCCTTACATATAAATCACAAAACATGGTCAAAGAAATGTGTATGAATAGTGCAAAAGTCAAAACGTGTCAACTAATATAAAACAGAGGTAGTTTGTGATTATGTGTTGATGAGTGATGTTTGTTGATTGATTCGTGGCTCACTTTTGATGGTTGATTTGCACAAGAATATTTAAAGGTGGCAATACAATTTACAAGATTCTATTAAAAATTCAAAATAGCTTATCTCATAATTGTAACATCTTACTCGAATAATTAAGTTTATAAATCATGATGCAAACATACAATATATTGTTACTCTAATAATTAAGTTTATAAGTCATGATGCAAACATACAATATATTGTTAAAATGTCGAATAACATATTAACTTCACAATGAAGTAAGGTTGAACTCCATGAAGGCATGAAGAATGTACATATGCTCAGCAAATCAATGTGGAGCACTAAAATCTACAATTTCTCATCCTTCTTTAAAAAAATAAAAATAAACATTGCTTTGATTACTCACTTTACTCTTCTTCTCAACAAAATTAGGTGATAAATACAGATAAGGCCTAATAACTCAACTTAATCTAAGCACGACATAAAAATAATTAGCAAGTTTAAATCAAGGTTCCAACTTGTTTAAAATATTATTAAAATTGAAATGACAACTTCACACAACCTTAAATTAAAACACGACACGAATACAAAACGACACAATTTTTTGCCAGGTATAAAGGTTGACAAGGGTGCCTTAGGGCAAAGGTAAGAACACAAACTTTTAGTTGGACTCGCGACTGGTGGCTGCGCTACAAAAATGAATATTTATTAGGAAAAAAATGAATATTTATTAGAAAAAAAAATGAACATTTAGTAATTGAACATTTACTAGAAAAAAAATGAACATTTCCTAGCTTGGATCGTGAGAGGGGGAGGAACAACCAGCTTTTTCTGAACCAGAGTACTGTAGATTGCATCATAGCTTAGCGAGTTTATAGGCTTGTAGAAGAGCATGACAATGCAAGTATAACAAGCTCATCTATGGGTTCCTTCATAAATCCCAACAGTTAAGTCCGAGAAGATGGGGTCATCAAATTGAAAACAAATGCTACTTTGTCTAATGATGGTTGGGTGGGATTGGGAGGCGTTATTCGTGATCATGATGGTAATAATGTCTTGTTTGCTAACACAAGAAGAGTTAAGGTGTGGTGGTCGATTGAAAATGCAGAAGGAAAGACAATGCCAATGGCTATTCGATTGGGCAAGCAACAAGGTCTCCACATAATAATTTTAGATTCTATTAAAATAAGAAAATAAATATTTATTTTATTACAATGAACATCATACGACATGAAAGATGAACATTAATTTTATAAGAATTCGAGATCTATCGCTTTGTCGAGGTAATGGATACCACTCCTGGCTTTCGCTTTAACCAATGAATATCATACGGTATGAAAATGAACATTTAATTATTGAAATATACAAATCTATAACCATTATAAAACATGAAAAAGTATTCACTGTAGCTGGTGAATAGTTCTTTTGCGTGTTATTACCTAGACGCCCCTAGATTAAATAGAATGTCGAGTTTTCCCTTGCTGTCAATTGCTTTATGTGTTGCCATGTGTGATGAAAAATCCAGCTGTTCTTCATGCCTTTGTTTGCCTGACAGCTAAGGTGCTGGTTGCTTGTACAGGTAGCTTTGTGTGTTGAATTCTTGATTTAGTCTTGCTTACTTGCTTTGGTTTGGGTGTTTTTGCTGGTTTGTTTGGCGAGCTTTTCTGCTTGATGGCTAGGTCTGGAATGGAGTTTTCTTGCTGTGGTTGGAAGTTTCAGAATGGCTGGTATGTTTCCGTTGCTCTTTTTACTATCTAGCCTTTCAGTATTTGGTTTGTTTCTTGCGTTGGAATGCCTTACTTGGGCGCCACTGCAGTGTCTGTGTCAAAGGGAAAAAAATTAATGACTTTGATGTCGGTGAGCTTGTTGACCATAGTCTATATATATAGCTTGAGGGTGTTCTTTTCTTTGGACATGGCAAGCGATCCATGCCCAGTAACAATTTCTTTTTGGCGGTGGGCGATCTGAGTTCCCTGTGCGGAATTGTTTGTGTGAAAGGTGGTACTTTGTTATGGATGATATTATATTACTTATAGTACAGGCTTCATTTGTCCATATGGTTTCTGCTTCGGATTCTCTAGCAAATTGAGCCTTAATTTACCAATAGATTATTATATGTACTGTGATACAATGACTAATATTGAATATACAATTCTACAATGTGTTGGATGTCTGTTATAATTCCCTATACTTATGTGTCTATGCTCATTGAATGTTCATGATAGTGGTGTCAGGTTTGTTGCTGTTCTGCACTCTCTGAGAAATGGTGATAAAATTGTCTTTATCAAGTGGTTTATATAGTGTTAGTAGTGTGGATATCAATACATTAGGTGGATGAATTAGATTGCTGTGGTAATAAGAATATTGACAAATAAATTGATTGATTTGCATGTTCTTATTTTGCTTTTTTTTCCTTTGGCCTTACAGGTTTGCTGCTATTGTTGTTTGTGGTGTTGTTGGACATTTGTTAAGGTACTTTTTCTGCTTCTTTTTATGTGTTTGATGTTGGATAGTTAAGACCCTTTTTAAAGATGTGGTCCTTTACTGGTTGGTTAGCTGCATATAATAGTTTTGGGGTTTGTTAATTAAGTGGTTATGTAGTCTATTTTATGTTCGATTTAAGTAGAAATAGTACTTGTTACCTATTGTATGTAGAGCCAAGGTAATATTTGTTTGGTTGTTTTTATATGGCATAGCTCTTCAGTGTCAGCTACTGTTAGAGTATGAATTAGTGTTCACAGTATCTTTAATGGAGTACACATGGGAGGGGATTAGACATGGACTGGAACAAAGTTGTACATTTTGTTGGACTAATCGAGCTGCTTTCTATATACGCCTCTTCAGATTTAGAGTTCCTTTTTGTTATAGAGCACCAATGGCATGATTGTTCTGTGGTGGAGTGTTTGTGATTTTAAGAATACTTATTTACCTGTGTGTGTGTTTAGTACAAGATATCTGTCCTCTGCTTCTAGATTCCTTATATGATTTGTCTTTGTTTCCATTATAGCTTTCCTATTCTGATTAGATTCTTATTAGTGGAATTAAGTTATATTTTAACAGTCTGGTGTGCGTACGGTTTAGTAGTCTTGTTTAGGAGAGAAAGCCCTTTTCTCTTGTTAGATGATTTGTAGCTGAATATCGTTTTTGCCATTACAGGTTATGGCTAGACGGTCAAACAGAGTTTTTGTCCCTTTTCAGCCTCTTTTGGAAAAGGTTGTTGCTTGGTTGCAGTTCCCTTCGCCCGTTTATGGATTTATAGATGCTGCTAAGAATAATGTCTTTGTGCGAGTTAGTAAGCCAAACTCTCGTGCAAGGTTCATTTTCTACGGTGGAGATGCCAGTTCAGTTGAAGAATCTCGTGAAAGAGCGGCCCACAAAGCAGTGAAGAGATTGATGTGTCGGTTTAGTGTGCGCGTATCTGATTTTACTTATGAGCGCATTAAGATGTATCGCTTGTGTGTGAAATTGTATAAGAATAGATGTGCTGAGTTAGTGCAGGACAGAGAAGATTTAAGTCGTATACGTGCAGAATGTAGTACAAGGGAGGATGCGCTGTTTCATGATGTTCATGTGTCATTGGATTATGCATAGTTTTTGGGAGTTTTAGTTAGGAAGACTGGTGTTTCTGTGACTGGCATTGAAACCACTAGATTAGAAGGACATGGTTATATGTCTTGGTTAATGGTGACCTGCCCTCGTAACAGTATTTCCATGGAGTGCATTTTCAGTGACCCCTGTCCTGAAGTGTACATTGCTGAGCAGCGAGTTGCGAAGAAAGCATGTTTCTTTATAGCTTCTGTTTGCAATGTAGAAATAGTTGATGCTAATTATGGTGCTGCAGCAAAGATTAGTGGAGAATGTTATTTGATAAGGGAGAAGTATATGGTTTTGAAGGGTCATCTTGAATGCTTGGAGAGTAGTTCAAAGCAAATTGATTCTGTTAATGGATTAGGTACTGCTGTATGTGTGACGCCGACTGATGAAGAAAATCAGATTCCAGTTTTAGCCCACCCACCAAGTCTTCCGTCTAAGCGCAGAATTGATAGGAGCGAGCCATCTACCAGTGGTGTGGGAATGCAGATTCCTGACAGTCTTGTTGCTGGTCTGTCTGATTTAGAGACTGTCTATAAGTGTGCTAGGGTTGAATAGCTATGTTTAGTATGGCTACCTGCCTTTTGGATTTAGGTGATTAAGAGTGTGTGAGCAGATGGTGGTCTTTTGTTTAGGATATGCTAGACTAATTAGGCAGCTTTTGTTGATTACCAGTAGACATGAAAAACATATGTAATAGATGGTATCTTGCTGTTGAAATTCTGTACTTGAATATTTGTGTTGTAATGGTGTTCTTACTTAGACTGTAATGCCACTATGGCCTCTTTTTAATGAATGCAGTTCATTTGTGCTTCTTATTTTAAGTATGCCCTCTTTGCCTATGGTCTCTTTAACATGAACTTTTTTGGGTTTTGGAATTTCCTGATTCAGTATTTAAAGTGTTGTTGTTCTTGCCTTTATAGCCCCTTTTACAGAGGCTACCTGTGTTCCTTATTGTCCTACAGTTTATGGTTTTTCGTTTTTACGGGTATTGCAGATATTGTCAAGAGAAGGTTTTGGAGAGTCCTATTACGTTCCAATTCTTCGAGCTTGCTCTGCAGTGGTGGCAATGGGTACTGCCTTAGCTAAACTTACTTCCACTTTGTCTTAGTTAATAGATCTATGTTTTTGTGCCATTTGCTACCCTGCAGTAATTGGTATATGTTGTATGTTAGATTGTCGTCATGGCATTCCTCGTCTGTCTCGGCAAAGCTGTAGCAGATTGAATAGGGCAGCACAAAGAACATCGCAGTCAGCGTTTGCTAGGTATACAGCTTCATCGGATGTTAGACTATTTATCATATGTATTATTGTGTTTGTAAAAGAGACAGCTTTACCTTGATTTGCAGTCCCTCTTTACCAGACACTCAGTGTGCTGCTAAACGCCCTCGACAAAGTTGCACCTCAAATCAACAAAAATGCATGCAGGAACTTAGTGCTCCACATCTACATAGGTACACTATATCCATTGAAGTAGCCATTTTTGTGGTTAGCTGTGCTATGATGCATATAGTAGTATTTTAGTAATTAGTTCAGAATCATTTGTAGGTGTGTTATCATCTTTATGCTAGGCATGTGTGCCCATCAAATGTTAAGAGTAGTTAGGATAGCCAATATTGTGCCTGTGAAAAAAATAACTTGGCCTTTATTAGCAGCCCGTCTTTACTGGACGTTCAGTGTGTTGCTAGACGCTCTCGACAAGGTCATACGTCAAAGCGGCAAAAATGTATACATGAGCTAGCACCGCCGCAGCTAAACATGTATACTGGATTTATTCAAGTAGCTTTCTTTATGCTCATCAGTGTTGTTCTATGTGTGTTGTCATCTTGCTGATTAGTCCAGCATCATTTCTTGTCTTCATATTGGTCATCCGTTGCTGTTTGATTGTGTTAGATATGGCGCTTGTTGATGCTTATAATGGCTATACTGTATAACAGTGGTTAACGCTAGGCATTCTGTAGGTGCCAGAATGCATGTCTGATCTAAGTGGCTGCTACTAGCTGTACAGATGGCATTGTTGTACAGATGCTATAGTAAGACACTATTTGTTCTATGCAGTGGTGCAGCTTCAAAAGTACCTCTCTCATCTAAAAAGAAGGCTAAACAAAGTCATGTAGAAGGTAAATTGGTATACTTATTATGCACCTTGATTTGTTTACTATCGTGATTCATACCGCATTACCTATATGCTTGCATTTTCTTGTGTTCATGTTAGATATTCTTGGTGCTGTTACAGATCGAAAGCTTCCAATTGAACCTTTTAGACTTTCTTTGCCTGATTTTTGTGGCAAGTGTGGTGCAAAGAAATTTATGTTCGAATCTTTGCATTTCTGTTGTGGGAATGGAGATATTACGATAGCTGCAACTGATTATCCTCATGAGCTTGTTTACTTGTTTACTTCAAGAGATGAAAGTGTTGTGCATTTTCGAAAGTATGCTAGATTATACAGCAATCTGTTTGCATTTAGTTCGTTAGGGGGGCATTATTATGCAAGTACTTACAAAGGGATGTATCTATTCAAGCTGCAAGGCCAAATGTATCATTTTGTGCCAGATTTATTTCCTGATGATAGCAATCCCAAGTACCTACAGTTATACTTCTATGATGGTCAGCATGAAGCAGAAAATAGAGTAGGCTGTTTCCCTGAAATAAGAGAAGATATAGTTAGAATTCTTATGCAGGTATCTGAAAAGAATCCATATGCTACCTTCTTTCGATCTTTGCGAGACAGGGCTATTCATGCAGATACAAAAATTGTTCTTAATCGAAGTTCAGTACTTGATCAGCGAGTTTATAATGTTCCTGCTGTTGATGATGTAGCTGTGATCTGGCCAGAAACTTATTCATCGAGCGAAGGCTTGGGCCCTCATATATTAGTCACTGGAAGATCTGATGAATCTCACCGAATTTATCATAGTTATGGTTGTTATGATCCCCTTCAGTATCCACTGTTATTCCCTCGAGGAGAATGTGGGTGGACTCAAGGCCTTAAAAAAAATTCTCATCCAAGTAGGAGGGCAGCAGATTCGATTCCAGATCCTATAATGTCCTGTGCTGTGCATAGTGCAGAAGATTTATTAAGTCAGGAAGAAGCCCGTAAGTGCCTTGGGTTTTATATGTTTTGTTGCATTTCTTTAGCATGAGCTCGGTCTTGATTTTGTTTTCTGTTTTTTTTTTTTTTGATATTCTGTATATCCTGCTGCATATTTGTAATATGTTGTTGCTGTTGCTGGCTCTTGTAACTTTTATTTCGAATTTTTAAGTACAGGTTCAAAGCGGAAAAATACCAAAGCAGATAAGTTCATTTCTGCTAGGGAATACTATGCATACAGATTGCAAATCCGCCCGAACAACATGCTGCTGTGAGCAGGTAGATGCTTTCAATAGTACATAGTCGATATGTATGTGAAAATTGAAAATACCAGGCTTGATTACTTCAGAAACAACCAAGAAACAATAAGGGCTGATTTGTATAAAGGTATATTGGATTCACTGGATTCTGGGGAAACTCTTGGTCATAATGTTGGACGGCGAGTTATATTACCTCCTACTTATATTGGGGGTCCTCGGGATATGAAAAAGAGGTACTTAAGTGCTATGGCTTTAGTACAGCGTTTTGGTAAACCGGATCTTTTTGTGACGATTACATGTAATGTTAATTGGCCTGAAATTAAGGCCGAGCTTGCGGCTGGTGAGACGGCACAGGATAGGCCAGACTTGGTAGCTAGAATTTTTAGGGCGAAGTTGCTTGCGCTTAAAAAGGAAATTATGGAGAAGAAAGTATTTGGAGAGGTTACTGCAATGGTATATGTCGTCGAGTTCCAAAAAAGAGGTTTGCCGCACGCTCATTTTTTAATTGTTCTGAAACCTGAATATAAGCTGAAGTCTCCTGCTGATTATGATAGATTTGTTTGTGCTGAAATACCCATTGAGACAAATCTTACTTTGAGAAGAATTGTGTTGGCGCATATGATGCATGGCCCTTGTGGTGTGTTGAATCCTGAATGCCCCTGTATGCGGAAGAATGGCCTAAAGCTCAGCTGTAAGAACAAGTATCCTAAATAGTTTTGCAATGAAACAACTAACAATAAGGATGGTTATCCTATCTATCGTAGGAGAGAAACCGGGGAAAAGGTTATGATAAGAAATGTAGAGCTAGATAACCAGTGGGTTATCCCTTATAATCCTTATTTGTCTATGCTATTTGATTGTCACTTGAACGTTGAAGTTTGTTCGACAATTAAAGCAGTAAAGTACCTGTACAAGTATGTTCATAAAGGTCATGATCGGATTTCGTACAATGTTGTTGCTTCTGACAGCAATTTTGTAGATGAGATTAAGCAATATCAATCAGGTAGATGGGTATCTCCTTGTGAAGCTGCATGGAGAATATTCAGTTTTGATTTGTTCGAAATGCACCCTGCAGTTTTTCCTCTACAGGTACACTTGCCTGACATGCAGACGGTTCATGTTTTCCCTCATGAAAGGCTCCGTGCAGTTGTTTCAGATTCAAAGCGGTCAAGAACTCAATTAACAGAATTTTTTGCAATGAATGTTGCATCCGAACTTGGGCTGGGGTATTTGTATGGCGAGTTTTGTGAACACTACACATGGCATCAAGGTGACAAAAAATGGAAGCAAAGAGTTCAGAAACCGAATTTCAGTTGGTAGATTAGCGTTTGTCTTTCCTGCAGAAGGTGAACGGTTTTTCCTTAGACTTTTATTGTTAAATGTAAGGAGTCCTAAATCGTTTGAGGATTTACATACTGTCAATGGTTGTCTCCTTCCAAATTTTCAGGAAGCTGCTCTAAAGCTTGGTCTTATAGAGGATGATGATGCAGCTAATTCAACCATGTCTGAGGCATGCGAAACTCATATGCCTGCTGCTTTACGGCATCTTTTTGCTACAGTCTTGATGTTTTGTCAGCCACGCGATCCTCTTGCTTTATGGAATGCCTACTACACTTTTCTTGCTGAAGATTTTTCTCACAGATTTCCGAATCAGATGGTGAAAATACAGCAACTTATTGTTAGATCAATAGAACAGCATCTGAAGCAATGGGCAAATCTCTTTCTTTTTTTGGTTTGGACCAACTAATTTCTCAGGTCAGTGATGAGTTCGGACGTACCAAAGATATTGTTGATGCTCTTGATGCACCCATTCCAGAGGAATGCTTAAGCTGTCGTTCAAAGCTCAACTTTGCACAGAATAGTGCTTTTGAGTGTATTATGGATCATGTCAAGCAGCACAAAGGGGGCGCGTTCTTTGTTGATGGCCCTGGAGGTACAGGTAAAACTTTTCTTTACAATGCTCTATATACAGAAATACGACAAATGAACAAGATTGTATTACCGACAGCTACATCAGGCATTGCTGCAACAAATATTCCTTCTGGTCGAACTGCTCATTCTCGATTCAAAAATTTCGATTGATAGTGAAAATTCATTGATTTGTGATGTCCCAAAGCAAGGTAGCTTAGCAGCAGTTTTGAAGGAAACAACATTGATTATATGGGATGAGGCTTCTATGGCTAAAAAGCAAAATCTAGAATCCTTAGACCTTTTGCTGCAGGATGTATGTGGGAATAAGGTCATATTTGGAGGAAAAGTTGTCGTCTTTGGAGGGGATTTTAGGCAAGTCTTGCCAGTAGTTCCACAAAAAACTATGAAGGAAACAGTAGAAGCAAGCATTGTAACTTCTTATTTGTGGCCCAAACTAACCAAATTTAGGTTAACAGAAAATATAAGAGCAAGAGAGGATCCAACCTATGCTGCTTTTCTGCTTGCTTTAGGCAATGGCAAGTTGCAACAAACAGAGAATGCTTTCATTCAGTTACCACAACAGATTGTGGAATCTACCAGCGATGCCACGGAGTTAGTGAGTACTGTTGTAAAAACAACATTCCCAGAAATGGTCCATGGCCACTTTGATAGTCAGGTTTTCACTCAAAAGGCAATATTGACACCCATGAATGAAGATGTGGATGCGGTTAATACATTCATGATAGATAAATTTCCTGGTCAGGATGTTACGTACAAGAGTTTTGATGTCGTTCTGAATGACACCTGCAGTGTATATCCTACAGAATTTATCAATAAATTATGTCCCGGAGGAATGAGTCCACATGAGCTCGTACTAAAGGAAAATTGTCCTGTAATATTGTTACGGAATTTGCTGCCGTCTTCGGGTCTATGCAATGGTACGAGGCTTATCTGCAAAAAAAATTTCCCTAACGTGATTCAGTGTGCTATAGCAGTTGGCCATTACAAAGGAGAAGAGATATTCATACATAGAATTAATTTAAGGCCCTCTAGCTCTACGAACTATCCATTTTTGTTTGAAAGGAAGCAGTTCCCTATAAAGTTAAGTTTTGCAATGACGATTAATAAGTCACAGGGGCAGACTCTCAGTCAAGTATCCATTTACCTTCCACGACCATGTTTTTCCCATGGCCAACTCTATGTTGCACTATCACGGACTAAGAAATCAAAAGATGTTCGTGTCTTTACAGCAGGCACTACATCTCAGTGTTCTGCAAATGAAGTGAAGAATGTAGTGTCTTATGATCTTTTACATCTAGCAGGCATAACTGAAAGTGAGGCTCAACAATATACCTAATTTGCTCCCTTGCTGAAGACAAACCTAAAGCAATCTAGGCTGCTATTAGTGACTTCTTATAGGTAAGCTGGTCTTCTCTTTTATGTGACTATAGAGTTAGCTATTAGATGTTGCATTACTGAAACCTGTATTTGCTTATCTGCAGATTGGACCAGTTTCCAGTTCATGGTTGCCCTTGATAGCAGGACAATGTAAGTCATCCATCTTCTGTTTATTGAAGCACCTAAACAGTATCTCTCATGCAATTACTTATTTACAGTATGTTATACTCGGTATGCTATAAGATGCAGATGTACTTACATACTGCTGTATTACAGTAATCGCAAGCATTTGGTGTACATGTCAATCAGTGATCTATTTTCACAATCTAACTTGTAATTTTATGATGCCTTTAGATGATAAAGTATTTAAAATTTTACTTGAACGACTCTATTTCTTAGAGTCAAGTTCTACTTACTCCTATATGCTAACTGAGTGAGCTCTTTTCATGGGTGAGGTGTACAATACAGTCTGCATTATGGTTTAAAATTTCTATGATTTGTAGGGTTAAGCAAGAATGGATTGTCTATTACTAGGTTTATGCCTATTTTACTATAGATGTTTTGTACTAATCGTAATTAGAATGCTGCTCTCAAGCTACAGATTTGAATTCTCCTTTTTTTTTAAAAAAAAAGGAAAAATAATGAGTAAAGTTTTTAAGACGGGAAAAAATTAGCTGACATTGCAAAGGATGTGTTTAGTATGCCGTGGTATGTTGCATTACTTAGTGATGATTTTAGTATCCTCCTTTGATTTTGTAGTTCTTTTGTGGCTTTAATAAAACATACATGGGCTTAGTTGACTCTAGCCCACAACAAATCAATAAAGAAGCCCTATAAATTATACTTATTGATTACTTAGGTTCAAAATTCAAATGTACTTTGTATTATATTTTAAAGTAAGTGGCAAGTACAAGTCAAAGTTACTATTTGAGTAAACTAATTGTTTTATAATAGCAACCAGTTGTACTCCTCTTTCATTTTCACCACAAAAAATCAGAAATTCAGCATTATAAGTACTTCAATATTATCCTAACCATAATAATTAATCCCTTTTAACTTAATGAATAAGGAAAAATTGTACTTAACAAGAGTCCTATGCTTGCTAGCTGTACCCAATCAGCTTAATGAACAGTATCTCTACAATCTAAACCGTTGCTTGCTAGAAAGATGCAGGTTAACTTCTTCCCTAACTGCACCTATAAATACCAAAGGAGTTCTCACTTTTTTGAGCAAACTTTTTTATTCTCTGCCTTATCTTCCTTAGTCATGGTATATTCTTCTGCTTTTATGGGAATTCTTTGTAGTACCTTTGTGTCAAGAATATTTACTATCACTTAAATCTTGAACTATATTTCAACGCATGCAAATCTATCCTAATAAAGCCACGTTTTTCCTTTTTTTTTTGTATCTGCTTTACTGCTTTGTTATACTAAATATTTGTAATAGTTGAGACCTTATTTAGTGTAACTACATGTATATTTTGCTGGCTTCCTTTTAGACATACATTAGTTTCTGGAGAGAATTCATGCCTTTGGATTCATTGGCCTTATAAACTGTTACTAAGCTATATATATATTTTGCAGAAACCACAAAAATAATGCATGCCAAAACAAACTTTAAGATGTGATCATTTGTAATTATATATATATATATATATATATATATATATATATATATATATATATATATATATATATATATATATATATATATATATTGGTAGCTTCCTTTTATACATACACTAATTTTCTGGAAACAATTCATGCTCCTGCATGTATTAGTCTTATTGATTGTTGCTAAACTATTTATATTTTGCTGAAAAAACAAAAATAATGCATGCCAAAATAACCTTTTAGATTTGATCATTGCAAACCACATCATTGTTTGTTACCGCTTTTTTTTTATTGTTTTTACATGCACTTGTTTCCTGTTTAGATCTTTCAGTTCTTGGAGGACAGCATGTTTTGCTGCTGGATTTGCATGTAAATTATACTACATGTCTTCTCTTGCTATACTTACTTACTACTTTGCATCTTATATATTGTAGGCAATGAATACACCTCCAACCTGTTTAGATCTTTCAGTTTTTGGAGGACAGCATGTTTTGCTGCTGGATCTGCATGTAAATTATATTACATGTCTTCTCTTGCTATACTTACTTACTAATTTGCATCTTATATATTGTAGACAATGAATACACCTCCAAAAATGAAGCTGGAACCAGTGTACTTGGACGAGCTAACTACTCAAAGTAAGGACTACAAGGTGAAAGTCACGGTCACTGAAAAAAGAAGAGCTCAGCCTTCACCTAAAAAACCTGGTGTGATCTTTCAGACCATCATCTTAGAGGATGAGAAGGTGTGCTCTTTCATACTTTGCTATATATATGTCAGTTCTTGAAAAAAAAAAATAGAATCAGTTTGCATAAAAAGTTAGTGCATACATTCTTCAACTGGATAATGTACAGATTTTGATATACATGAGTATATGGAATTTGCTTACCATAAAGATGTATACCGTTTGTGCATTTCCAATCATTTTTTACGTTGTTGGCCATATCTTATGTACTATGTGTTTACCAGTATACATATTTGTGCTTGTTTCTTTTGCTTTTATGCATTTATGTATTTTCATAATAGAACCCTACCACTGATTAGTATTCTATCTCTTTAACCAGAAAAACAGAATGCGATGTGCTCTATTTGGAGATCAAATTGAAGCATACGAAGAGGTCTTTAAGCCGTCTGGTCAGTACGAAATTTCTAAGGCTCCTATAACTGCTGTAGATGATCAGTACAAATTCAATCTGGAAGAACTTCCATACCAGATGACCGTTGGACACCAAACTATTATTCAGCGTCTCAATCCTGAAAGCGGACCAATTGAACCGAAGTATCAGCCTCTCTCAACTATTCCTAGATCACCTGATCCAAATGGCAGATATGGTATTTACTCTTTTACATATTCAGTGCAATTTATACTTTAATTTTCATCTTACACCCTTGCGCTGCTTTTCATACTTTTTACTATTGTCCCTTTGCCAAAATCAGATGTAGTTGGTGTAGTTCTTTTCGTTGAAGAAGCACCAAGGATGATACCTAATGCAAGGGGTCGTGACAGTCCAGTTCGAGAAGTATCTCTCACTGACACAAGGTAAATATACATCTGTACAAGATTAGTTGTATTTTATCCCTTACCATACTCAACTGTGCTAGATAACTTACACAATACAATATATTGCCAACCAGCCAAGACCATGCTATGACAATCTCAACATGGAACGATCTCACTGGGAAACCTTGTGATGCTATGAACAACTGGGCTGAGAAATTCAATGTTGTAGGCTTTACTGCACTCAAAACCCGTCACACAAGAGGTACAATTAGTAACATTAGTTTTAATATCACACTCATCATCACTTACCAGATTATCGAATTAATTTACTGCTTGTTCACAGGGTTCACTTTGAATACAACCATGTCAACTAGAATAATCATGAATCCTAAGGGAGCAAGGGTAGATATGCTTCGAGAATGGTACTTAGCATATTTTAGTTATGTTTATTTAAAATGTAAAATTAAGTCACAAACAGATAGTCGCATAGCTGAGTCCATTTCCCTATTCCAGGGTTAAATTGTATCAGCATGTTCTACTAGACAGACAGGAAAGAATTTTGAATGTAAGATATCCAAGCGCAGAAAAGAAAGTAGTGACGATAGCTGAACTAAGAAGCAAAAAGGTAAAGGCTTTTAAAATCCACTTCTAATTTTACATTTTCTAGCTTTCCAATGCATTATTCTTTTTAAGTATAGTAGTTAGTTGCTAGCTAATGTATGATTACTTACATTAATGCAGGCAGCTAATGCAACTCCTGATGAAGTTGCTTGGATCAGAGTTACAATACCAGAGGTTGATCTGCAGCGAGTGAATGCCTATATAGGCTGCCTTGGCTGTGGAAAATGGATACATCTTGCACTTGGGACTCGGTTCCCTTGCATTTCTTGCAAGAAAGCAGACACCGTAGCTGTACACAAGTATAGTGTTAACACCTTGCCTTGTATTACTTTTTCTTACAGTAAAATATAATGCAAGACTTAGCTTATTTTTCCTGTATGCACCTGCAGAGTTACATTTAAGTTTGAAGTTGTTGATGACAGTGGGACAATGTCGTTTACTACTTTTAGTGATGATACGGAGAAGATTTTTTGAAAGACAGCAGCAGAAATCTGGGATATCAAAGCCACTGTAAGCAATTTTGCTATCTTCTTTGCGTTTTTGCAAGTTCAGTTCAAGTGTGTCTACACTCATATGCAAGATTATGGCTAAATACGCTGTACATTTTGCATTCAATACACTTATCTGTATCAGGCAAAACCTACAGTGCTCATCACAGTTGCTTATGAAATATGTACATTTTTATTGGTTCATATTTTGATCATTAGATTACATAATGTTTACATTGCTCATAGTATACCTAATACTTACATAATACCTTTACTTTTCTAGGGGAATGTCGAAGCTTTTAAGGTTGTTCAGGGCATACTAGCAACAAAGCCTTTCTTCATTCAGGTAACTCCGACTCTGGAGTTAGCCAGGAACAACGTTCTCTTGTGGACTCTGAAGACTGTTGAAATAGATGATGCAGAACCACAGGCCCATGTTCTAGACTCATCGTCTTCGCAGCTTAACAAAGAACAGCCAGCCTTCAGAACAGAAAAAAGGCACACAGCAGCCCGACCACTGATGCACGAGAGTCCAGCTTCTGCCTGTACTAAGGCTCTTGCCAAAGGAGTTGCTGTTTCAGACCCACAGGTAGTTGTTGATTACAGTCAGGACAACACAGAGGCAAGTGATGAGGTCCTTGCTGAAATTGCTCAGTTCCATGAATTCAGACTAGCTTCTCAAGCATTCGATGCAGACTGCTTTGATGTTCCAGTGTAGCCACCAAGCAAAGGGATTACAATTTTAGAACCAGTGGCATCAAATGCTGAGCTCCCTACATGGAACACCCTTGCTCGCACCCGCAGTAATGTCAAGAACAAACAACCAGCGCCTGTTGAAGAGATGTTAGAATCAGATGATGAAGATCAGGTTCCGAGAAAGAAACTCAGAACAACCCTTTTCAAAGACACTTGAGAAAAGGACAAGGCAGAGAACAAAGAAACTCCTTGAAACCTCTTTGATGAACCATGAACTAAGTTAACTTTAAAAATATTAGAGTATATTAGTTGTTGCTATTTAAATAGTAGTATTAATCAAGTATTATGGTATCATGCTTTACTTAGTCTGAAGTACCTTTTGAGTGTTTAGAAGGAACATTTTGGGCATCTTTTGTTCCCTATAAACATCAAGTATTGTATATAGTGCTAGAAATATGCAGTGATGTCTACTTTATGATAATATCTAAGGAATAGTCCTATAGTAGAACTGGAATCTTTTGGTGTGTATATAGAAATGCTAAGGTATCTATGATGTATCACATTGTATCCTTAAATCAGGAAACTTATCTATAATATAACCTATGGTATTATAACTTCTTGCTTTAATTGTTGCAAAATTTACTCTTTAATATAGCTAAAAGCTTTGCAAAAATGATTGTTCCCCTTTAAAACATCTGAACACCTACCAAATTATATACACTCTTTGAATTTTAACTTGAGGTTTTAGGGAAAAAAAATACATAATGTTCTGCTTCTGTTCATCAGAGGCAGTTCTGTTTATATATTATTATAGCCTTGATTGTTATATTATCCATGGTCCTTTTGGTAAAAGAGTAACCCTGCACATGTAAATTCAGCTTCGTGCAAAAATGGCAGTATCAAGCAGCTAGAATAAACCAAAAACAAGGAAGCTATTACTTCTCTGCAGGACATGAAATCAGTTGTATTCGCCTTTCTTCTACATGAACCAATTTCCACTCTGAAACTACTATGCTTATATATTTGCAGTTTTTTTGGCATACATACTTACCAATAACTATATGACCTTATAGTGCTGCTTGAATGCATGCCCTCTCTAATGATATAAGTCTCATTTACAATGCAAAACCGACACGCAAACCAGGCTCTGCAATTACTAGACACACATAAATTATCTTAGACACACTAGATCATGATAGTATAAATTCCTAAACGACCAACTAAGTCAGCTGTAGAAACATCGAAGATGAACATATTTTCCTGTCTATACTAAGCTAAAATGCTATCCCTTGCTTACTATAAAATATATTAATATGATATCAAACTGCAAGCCCTTCTCCCTATCGCTCTATTGGCAATGAATTCTCATATAGTAAGGCACATACACTAGACTATACAATAACAGAGTGACAGTCTCAATCAAAGAGCATAAGACAGTTAAGGGGGAAACAATTCACCTTCAACTTATGACTGAACAGAAAAGTTTCTATGATGGATAGTGTATTAAGGCTGACAAATTCATATAAAAAACATCTACAAAACCAATCCAATATACCATAAGTTAAATAAGCTACCGATGCTTTATATAAGAGTTCAGCGAAGCCTAATAACCTACTACATACTATATAAGCAACACAAAATACATCAATACAACATTGATTAGCTACGCTTTACTACACCTAGAACAGCTTCATTACGGGCTAGATAACCAGCAACGCTTAATTTGGTGCAAGAAGAAATTCAAATAAAAGAGGATATCCTTGACGATAAACAACTAATGCCCCTACACCATTGATAATACACTGATCCTCATAAAACATACTAACACCATTTCTCAACGAGCAAACAACAATTACATTCCCTTGCTTGGCTATATGCAATTCTGCACACCATTGCTTCAGTCGATGGCGAATCAAAACAACACTGCAAGGTTGCATCTGTTGCAGATAAATACTTGCAAACGACACAGGGACAATCTGCACAGAATATAATTTACAGGAAAGTAAGCCTCATACAAAGTATATACAACTATACCTATAAAGTAAGGAAATGGGAAAAATCACATACAAGACTTCCTTCCCTAATATATGGTGTACGAAATCTACATTTAAATGCTGGGTATGAACATCTTTGCTGCATTAGAGATAAATGAACATCAAGCTCTGAATTGCTCAATGGGAGAATCCTCTCAGATCTAGCAGCCCTTGTAATTACTTCATGTGGATGTGTTTTTTCATGACCATGAGGAGCAAATATTCTGGTATGAAATATACCATGTCCTTTGAAGTATATTATTACTGTATCTCCAACCACAATATCATTATCAGATATAAAGTTTCCCCAACCTCTATCCATACGCATAACAGTAATTCCATTACTATTAGTAAACCTCATAATACTGATCTTCCATGATAGCCCTTTCGTACCACGAAATACTATGCATTCTTCACCTTCATTTACCAGAACATGATTGAATCAATCAGGGATTTCCTAAACATACAAAGCCAACATGATAATCATATAAGAATCAACATAACAGTATAACAACAACACTTAACAATACAAAGCGCACATACCACTGATGTCAGATGATCTTCCTCAATACAGAGAATCCATTTCAATAAAGCATTGTTAGTTTCCTAATATAGCAGCAAAACATGTTTAGTTATAAAGCGAAAAAAAGCATAGAACAATAGCAAAGCTAACGTGTAAAACACACTCCTGTCAACTTACCATAGCAAATGAATGGATACTACCATTTACAATAAACCACAACCTATTTTATACACATTTTACCCAAGCACAGGCACCATATAATAAGCACTACCTCCATAGTAACTGTATGCATGTGAACCACTGTATGCTATAATTATACTCAGATTCCTTCCAACCTTTAGATTCCCAATCATTACAAAATGCAGAAGCATTACTCAACAATGCACAACAAGACAACAAGAGCTATTGTAGATTCTTTATCCATGCAGCCTATTGCATTAAATTTCCACATCCTCATAATCACACATAGAATTTAACTATTCATAGAGTTCTACAACCATTGAATAAATAAAAAAACCAAATATAAATATGAAAACATTGCAAACCCTTTAAAGTAGTCTTGCTTATAGGTGCAAATAGCACTTGTGTTAAGACCTTATAAATACATGTTCACAATAGACACAAGCATTACATTGTTAGCTACATTACAATTTAATTACATGATTAGACACAAGCATTACATATATACTGCATGGCTTCATACAGCTTAACCAATTATAGCCATAAGCTAAATTCTATGTGTGCTTATGAGTATGTGGCTTCATACAACATAGTCAATTATAGTCATGAGTTAAATTCTCATAAGACAACATTAGTCATTCTCCTAAACCACTTATCAATACCAACCAAGTATACAGCATAGCCAATTATAGTCATAAGCAATAAACAACATATTCAACAGAAAAAACGGCAAAAAATTATAATTCAAAATACCAAAAGAAACTCAAGCATTATATATATACTTCATGGCTTGATACATTGTTTAATTACAATTTAGCAGACTATCTTTATACCTACAAATACCTTAGCATTCTACCATAATAGTTTACTTCTTAGGTTTAACATCAAAAGAACCCTAAATACAAAGCCCTACCCACATATTATCACTTCAAAAGTAAAAGACAAAAAGCACCTATAAAAGCAAAAGGCACTCTACTACTAGCCAATTATGGACTTCTCCTTCGACACATGTCGGAATCTTCACTTGACTCCTGATCTCCAGCATAATAATTGCCAGAATCAGAATCAAAACCGCTATCATTATCAGCATCAGAGTAATCACTGCGATCATGACCACTATCTGATTCAAGTAGTTCAGATGATTCCGGAACATAATCTTCGTCATCTTCGTTATTTGAGTCAGAAATCAAACTACTTTTTGACTCTTCATCACTCTCATCATCTTCGTCGGTCTCATCCTCTTCACCACTACCACGATCTTCCTCAGTCTTATCCTCTTCAGAAGGCTCAGCTACTCCCTGAATTTCATCTTTGTCTTGCTCACTGTCAATTTCAATAACAATCACTTTCGATTGTTGCCCATCATGCTCCACTTCCCTCTTCCTCTTATTGTTGTGTTCGCCTTCTTGCACCTTCCCCCTTCTGTTTCGTCTCCCTTGCTGTAATAATTCAAGGTACCTGTTCATTTTCTCTTTAACATCCGCACAGTAAGAAAGAAAACTAGCAATATTTTCATCTTCTGACTTATTAGAGATCGGCTTCCAGACAGGTGGTGTAAAACCTTTGCCGGAGCTAGCAGTACTATTCAAACTTCCCATTCCCTTCAACCAAGACAGAGACAGAGTATAGAAGGAACAAAGGGCAGAAGATGAACAGGACTGAACAGTACCGTTCAAGATTTGACTCTCCCAAAAAAAAAAAATATACTTTGTATTACATACCCACAGTCAAATGTCCCTTTTCATATTCCACTAATAAGTATAATTAGCTATAAATAATTCTTTATTGTAAGTATAATTACCTATTCATATAGTACTTTCTTTTCAGCATGAAATCTAACTACACGTGTGCTAGATACGGCTAGAAGCTTTTTCTTGTCTATTTTAGACACAATATAACTATAACGCACCAAATCCCTTACGTTAAATCAGAAACGTATAATTTAGATATACAAAAATAGCCAAAAAAAACCATACTTGTACATAGTGTTACGCGGTACAAAATTTGCAGTAGGAACACTAACACTAATGACTAAAATTATATAATCTCATACTATAAAAGAACCACAAATATCGCAATTGAAATACAAGTCAACAAATATTGCTTATCTTGTTATTGTAAAATATGTGAAGTTAGAAAATCTTCATTTTTTTATAGTAAATGTTCATTTTTGAACAAGGTACCATAAATATATACCTGGTGTCGAGGCCACCTTTCAACAACTAAAATAAGAAGCTTGCTAAACTATTTAGCCCAGCCCATATTCACCAAAAGATAGAACACCCGAACAGATTCGGATCCTTCAACCTGGAATTCTGGAAATTACAATTAGGTTCGCAAACTCCAATTTCATTTTCCCAGTTTTATTCATAAGAAGAAAAAGGAAAATTTAGAGAGAGAAAGTAGAGAGAAGCAACCATGGCGATGACTCTTGCTAAACTCAGATCCGGCGTTCAATCCGCCATCCGTGCTGGTCGTTCCTCCGATCTTTCCAAGCGCCCCTTCTCTTCTTCTGCCCACCACGATGTTGCCTGTAAATTTCTCTCTCTTAATCTTTTTTCCCTTACAGATTTGACCCTGAAATTCACAAATTTTTTGCTTTGATTTAAATACCCTTTTATGATTTTACGATATACATAAATCTGAATTACGATTTTCTCATGTTCGATTATTTAATTTAATCAATTAGGGTTTCATTTTGTTTTGGGCATTGAAGTTTTATAATTTCAATAGAATTGGGGGTATTTGATTTTCGTTTGCATGTGTTTTATTTTCTGGAAAATGGGTGTTGATTGTGTTTGTTTTGTATGTATTTATTTGAAGACGAGGCTAAAGAGGCATCAAAATGGGAGAAAATTACTTACCTTGGAATAATTAGTTGCACAACCTTGGCAATCTACCAACTTTCCAAGCCTCATCATCACTTCCCAGAGCCTCCTGTAAGTTCTATTTAAGTTTTACATTACTTATTTTTCCCTGTTGTTTTGCTCATTTGTCCCATTTGTTGTCAATTGCATTGGATTGAGTGTTGTTTTTTTGGCTATGATGCTAAATTATGCATCTGTTAAATTGATCGTATGAATTTTCGATCATTCCGTGATGGTTGGTGTCTATGCTCATTAGTACTTTAGGTTTCTTGTTTTTAAAAGCACAAGTAAAGGAAATGCTTCTATGTTTATTGCACTTTTTGGCTAATGCTAACCACTAGCTTTTTATTTAAATGTGTTTCATTTGTCAATAAATAATTCATAGTTTGTTATGGAATATCATTTTTCATCCTTTTATCAGCTAAATTAGCTTGTTTGAGCGGATTAATTCTTAATCTTAATTCCCATCCAATGGTCAAGATATTAGCTTGAGACTTTTAGAAATTACTTGCTCCTTAGCTAACTATGACCAGTGGAGATTTGATACACAATTCTAAATTTAGCCTAGTGGAAAGGAGAGCACCATATATCTACTAAGAGCACTTTGGGGGAGGGGATCGTTGCATTTCCCCCACTTTCTGTTGTTTATGTTTGTGTTTTCGTCATAAGTAATTGAGTTGATGTGGCGGATCATACGAGATCATGAAGATGATGTGCTTGGTGTGTGCATCTTTTTTAATTATATGCATTGTTTTACTTCATTTGTAAAATTTTATGCTACCTCCGTTACAAGTTATGTGCAACGATTTGACATAATGCAGAGAGGGAAAATGTGTAATCGTTGCACATAACTTGTAACGGAGGACACTAGTTGAAAAATGGCGTTTGCTTGATCATCTACATATCTTTATGTTGATACGAAGTACTTCATATATAGTATCTCATTTTTGTTTAATGTGAATTGTTTGCAGGCATACCCTTACATGCACATTCGCAACAAGGAGTTCCCATGGGGTATGGTTTCATTTAAATTATATTTCACTAATGATTTTTCGGTATTTTGTGCCATGTAAATTTGGCATTTTCATTTTGTTTCTTCTCTATAGGGTTTTGGGTTGCTTAAGATCTTTTGAAGGAATGTGAATTATTTTTTTTTTTTTGGGGGGGGGGATTTAGAAATACTCGTATGAAGCGGAGATAAATATAACGTCTATCATTGATTAGTATGATTCGAGAGGAATTGTTTATTTGGTTGTCAATTAGAGATGAACAAACTTAGAAGTAAAATTTTTGCAATTTCGATAGGAAAGTTGAATGACGCTTTTGTTGATTTGCTTTTCTTATTATCCCTTTTTTTTTTTGAAAAAAATTTCTAAACCTATCTTATGCATTAGTTAATACCCCATATCAAACATGAGTTTCCAACCTTTTTCATTTCAGTCTATTTTTCTTTACCCTATTAATTCCTCTTAACCAACTTGTTGGCGACCTTGTTAAGTCTGTCTCATGTATTTCGGTATACTGGCGTTTTTATTTGTACACAGGAGGTCTGTTTATGTTTGTTACATACATTGCCTTATTCTCATGTGGCATTACTTATTTGAAGACATTTTTCAATTGTTGGTTAACTCCATAAAGTCAACCCCTTTTCCTGGACAAACTACAATCAAATGGTTCACTCCTATCTCTGATATAGTACAGGAATATGCCCTGTATACTATATCAAGATTTAGAGACAACAGTTGTCGTATTGGTTATAATAAATTTACGAATCACTACTCTGATCATGGTTGATAGGTAATACTTGTTAGAGTCGTTACAAGGAATTATCTGGATCCAAGTCCACATGAATCTCTCATGGCTGTTTTATGGGTGAAGACTGGCTTATATTATTTATGTTATGATTTAGGATAGCCCCTGTTTATATTTTGCAGGGTTGACATATTTGATAGCTAATTATCACTATTATAATGTACAGCTATAGTTGTGTTAGGAAATCACCAATCCGAGCCAAGTCTACAACATCATTTTTTCATAATGATTTTTTTGTTTGTTTGTTACTGCATCCTTTATTGACATCTATGTGTGGTGAAGTTTTGTTTTTAGCAACCCTGAACCACGTAGTTTTGAAGTCTGATTTTATATCTGCCTTTAATTTTTTGTTTTGGTTACAGGCCTTTCTTTTCTTATCCTGAACTACCATGTCTTTTTGGCTCTAGCTCCACTTTCTTCAATGTCAATATTAGTTGCATTCTTTTTCTTTCTTTTTTTTTTGTTTCCTATTGATCATAAATAAAAAAAAGTTATAGATAGATATTATTTCATCTACTAAAATTTTTGAATTTATATACATTTGAATGGGAAACATTTAGTTATTGTAAACATACAAGTGAATTAGCATGGATTTGATCAATTGTCTTCACACTTGTGCATGCCCCTTGTGAAAATCTTTGCTATGCCATATACTTGATGTCTTTGCTCCTTATAAGCCTTTCTGACCGTCTTTTTTGGTTTTCAGGACCTGATGGGCTCTTTGAGGTGAAGGAACATCATTAATCATTCTGTTTTTCTCTTCCTGTTTCATGTTATTGTCATTGGATCAATCTCGTCTTTGGAAGACGAATTTCCTACTTCAATGTTTTTCATAGTGCTCAAGCACTCAAAATTCTTTGTCGAGATGAATGTACGGACAGTTTGTGGGTGGGTATTGGTCTTTTGTGATTTGGACATGCCTTTTGACTGTAATTCTTCAAATAAAATATGGTCAATACTTAATACGCATTCAGCATTCTTATCTTACCATAGTATTCATTGTTCTTGAATATATACCAGAATTGTCCCCTCTTGTTGGTTGACATTTTGTAAAGTTTGTCAAACCAAGGAGTGTATCTAAAAAAGAGTGAAGTTGTGATTACAAATTACAGCCGAAGTCCCATATGGAGCATTGATTCTTTTTTTTTTTTCCCTCTTAACCCCCTCTCCCCGAAACCCCTTCCCTCCCCCATGAAAACCCCACCTAAAACCAGCCCCTCTACCTTTGTAACCCCCACCATGACACCAGACCTCTTTCCATCCTTGTTAGGTCTGGTCTGGTTAGGGTTTTAAGGATGGGTGAGGGGTTGGGGATTGGTTTTAAGGTGTTTCGTGGGGGAGGTAGGGGGGTTTTGGGGAAGGGGGGTTGGGATAGGGAGAGAAGGGTTCAGTAGCGGCGCCGGGGGCAGGCTGGCAGGGGATGGGTGGTGCCTTGTGGGGGAAGGGTTTTTTTTTTTTTTTTTTTTTTTTATATATAGTAAGATTTTAATTAAAACGTATCATTAATATTCTAATAATTCACGATTACTAAAAGTTTTTTTTTAGTATCAAAGAGAATTTCCGATCTCTAAAAATTTTAAATTTGAATATCTTCATCGATGTTTAGATTTGGGTAATGTTTGCTCTAATATGTAAGTTGCGATTGAGATTATACAAAAATGTTTGAGGTGAGTCAACATCGAAAAATTTGGTCAATTATGGAAATCTGATTGTATTTTACAACATTTAATCTTGTACGAAGTATTATGTAATTTTTTATAATTTTTACTCGGTAGTTTCTCAATAATTTGGGTTTTATTAGATTATTTATGACAAAAAAGTCCTTTTAAATCGTGTTTAAAAAAAAAAATCCTTTTAAATATAATGAAAGACGAAACTATTATACTCCGTACTGTAGTAACCAAAGTAAGCAGTACTAATGTACTATGCTTACGGCTTACCCATGTCAAATTTTATGATGCATAAATTCGTAATTTAGAAGTTAATCCGACCACTATTAAACCCAATTATTAATTAATAAATTTTAATTTTACAAAAATGTTTAATTTGTAATTTTGTAGGGTTGGGTACTTGTCAACTTGGGTGACATCTCCATCAAACTCGTGGGTCACATTTTCTTCCTCTCACAGCATCTCCGCTACAGTCGTTGTTCCTTAAACATGCTCTCAAGGTGTTCGATCATATGTCTGTAAGAGATTTTTTTTGCCTTTTCCTTTTTTTTTTTTTTCAATTACAATATAAATTTTTGAAATAACGCATTTATTTTAGTATGTATATAATTATAATATGGAGGGAGTATTTGTGATATAATTATTTCCCCAGTAATAATAATCATCTTGCATACTTTTATCGGATTTTCCAATGACTGTAGTAGTAGTGTTTGTCTTGTACTTGGGATAGATGCTCTTTTGCTTCTCTTTCACTGTTGATCCTTTTTAATTAGCAATGACCCAAACCATTGTGGTGTTTTTTTGGGTGGTTTGATAACGTGATTAAGAGAATCTTGTTTTAATCGATGAAAATGCACGGTTTTCTATCGTTAATTGCCCTTTTAAGTATTAATAATTCCTGTTAATGGTGCTTGACTGCTAGCTGGCATATTAAGGATCCGATTGATTGACTAAGAGGAAACCAATAATCAAAGGTGTGAAAAATGATTAAAAAAAATTGATAATAAAATGTAGTAAAATGAAAGATGTCTCCAATCTTTACATAAAGTAATTTTGTTTTAATTACTCACTTGGCCAGTGTATCATTAACAGTAGTGGTATCATTAACAAAGTCACATCTTGCATTTTTTGGTAAGAGAAAACTACTTACAATTACAAAGAGAGAAATATGGCTGAAGCAGTATTGTTTGGCATTGCACAGGAAGTCCTGAAGAGTTTGGAATCTGAGGCCCTTGCAGAGATTGCCTCGGCTTGGGGCTTCAAGTCTCGGCTCGATAAGCTCAAGGATACCATCAACACCCTTAAGGATGTGCTGTTGGATGCTGAAGCGAGGCAAGCTGACAATCTCCCTGATAGCCATGCTGTTCGTGGTTGGCTTCAGAGGCTTACCACTGTTGTCTATGAAGCTGATGACTTGTTCGATGAGTTCCACACTATAGCATCCCGCAAGCAGCTCTTGGGTGGAAACAAAGTGACTCGAGAGGTACAAACTTTCTTATCCCGCTACAATCAGATGATATTTGCCTTTCGTGTTTCCAAAAAGATTAAATCAATTCGGGAAAAGCTTGCTGATATAGTCAGTGATGGTACACAGTTTAACTTTGTACCCTGCTCTCATGAGGGAGGAAGAGTAATGAACAGAACTATGAGAGTTCAGACAGATTCTTATGTTCATGTTGAAGAAGTTATTGGTAGAGATGATGATAAGAAACTCATCTTAGGTGTGCTGCTTGCTTCATCTTCCACTGGCGTCGACCACGAGCAGAGAGAAGAGATGCTTCCTGTCATCCCAATTGTGGGAATGGGTGGCATGGGGAAGACCACTTTAGCTCAACTCATATATAACGATCCTCAAGTTAAGGAGTACTTTGAGATGAGATTATGGGCCTGTGTTTCAGAGGACTTTGATATTCAGGAAATCACTAAGAAGATCCTCAGGTCTGCAACCAACACAGAGATACCGGAGTTAGATATGGAACAGCTACAAGGTCGATTGCGGGGAATTTTGGGTGAGAAAAAATACTTTCTTGTCCTAGATGACGTGTGGAATAATAATCGTGAGAAATGGCTCAAGCTAAGAGCTTATTTGAAGGTTGGTAGAAAGGGAAGTAAAATCGTGGTAACTACTCGATCAAGTGAGGTGGCTGAAATAATGAGCACTTTTCCTCCTCATGAATTACAAGGTCTATCAGAGGAAAGGTCTTGGGAATTATTTAAAAAGACGGCATACAATGAAGAATCTCAACAAAATCCACGATTAGTGGAGGTAGGCGAGGAGATTGTTGAGAAGTGTGGGAGACTCCCTTTGGCCATAAGAACCATAGGCAGTCTGCTTTATGGCAAGGAGGAGAGGAAGTGGTTGTCAATCAAGGATGTAAGTCTTGCAAAAATACCTGAGAGCCAATGTGATATTATGAGTATTCTTAGGCTCAGCTACCATCACTTATGGTCGCCATTGAAAAATTGTTTCGCTTATTGCTCTTTGTTTCCAAAAGATACTGAGTTGGACAAAGAATTGTTAATAGATCTTTGGATGGCAGAGGGTTTCATTACTCCAGAATTCAATGAAAACCAAAGTATAGATGAAGCTGCAGAGGACTATTTTCAAACTTTGCTACAAAGGGGCTTTTTTCAAGATATAACCAGAAATGAATGGGGGGCTATTACAAGCTGCAAAATGCACGACTTGATGCATGATCTTGCTCAAGAAGTGGCTGGAGTCAAGTGCAAGGTTGGAATGTTTGCAGAAAGTGACTTTGATGACAAAATCCTCCACTTGTCCTTAGCTTATCGTTTGACCTCGTTATGGAAAATTCCAATTCCAACTAACATGCTTAATTTGAAGCTGCTGCGTACGTTTCTTTTGCCTGAGCAATCAAGTGATGGGTCTCCCTTAAGCAAATCAGTTTGCCGACAGTTAATGAGAAGATTTAGTTGCTTGCGGGTGTTGGATCTACATCACCTGGACCTTAAGAGTTTGCCCAGTTCAATTGGTAAGCTTATTCACTTGAGATTCCTCAATTTATCAAGAACAGATATTGAAAAACACCCTGAAACTATCACAAACCTTCAGAATTTGGAAACACTAAATCTAAATTGTTGTTCTCAGCTTAGAACACTACCTAAAGATATTAGAAAACTTGCTAAGTTGAGGAGGCTTGATGTGGCTGAATGTGACAATTTGAATCACATGCCATCAGGGTTAGCAAGATTTACATTGCTGAATAGGCTTCCTTTTTTTATAGTAAATTATGAGCATTCTGCAGAGTTATGGAACAAGCCCAACAGTACGGCTAAATTGAGTGATCTAAAGGAACTCAATAACTTGAGAGGTGAGCTGTGCATAAAGATATGCAGAGATTTTGATATGAACATGCTACAAGAAGCAATGGAAGCAGACCTGACTAAGAAACAGGGGCTGATTAAATTGACAATAAGCTTTCAAGAAACATTCCGCATTCTAAAAGAAGCAGATAAATATTGTAATCATGATGAAGCTGTGCTGGAGGGCCTCAAACCGCATTCTAGTTTAAGGAGTCTGTGTTTTGAAAACTACAAGGGTCAGAAGCTCCCGAGCTGGGCAAGGAAAGGTGATTTGTGTATTAGTCTTCCAAATTTGGTTGAAATTGTACTCTATGAATGTAGTTGTCAACAGGTCCCTTTATTTAGTCAACTGCGTTTCTTGAAGCATCTTAGACTTATGTGTATGGATAGTGTTGAGTATATGGAGGATGGTGTATGTGACATTTCCTCATCATCATCAAAATCGCAAGGGATCAAAACTCCATTCTTCCCATCTCTTGAAGTACTGTGGTTGTATAAAATGAAAAATCTGAAAGGATGGTGGAAAGGACTCGGAGTAGAAGCACTTGGGAGTACAAATGATTCGGAAAATACATCGTCATCTGAATTAGTTGGGGCAGGCAAACAATATGATCATTCCATATAATTTTGTAATCTCTCAAAATTGTTTATAGAAAAATGTCCAGAAATGAAATTCCTGCCACTTTGTCCAAAAGTGGAGGTTTTGAATCTAAAAGCCTCCAATGAGAGGCTCTCAGTATTGAAGATTGCAACAATAACCGCATCTTGTTCTGGTTCGGGAAGGGCTGATTTGAAGTTGAAGGAGCTGAGGATCGATAATGTGGAAGACCAACTTATGCCCCTCCCTAAACAATGTCTGAACCAGCTTTCTTCGCTAGCTGTCCACAACGATCACAAGCTGGTGAACACTAAAAGTCTCATAGAAACGTTTGCAACTCTGTCTTATTCACTCCGACATTTGAGTTTCTGCGAATGTAATAACTTGAGAAGCATATCTCAAGGCCTAGAACATCTAACTGGATTGGAAAATTTGGCGTTTAGGAGTTGTTCAGAGCTTGATCTATTATCAGTAAATGAACTACAAACGCCAAGTGGAGAGGGAGATGAAGATGGCAGAAAGATGATGCCATGGAAAGCCTTCAAAACTAATCTTCGCTCTTTGGTTTTGGATGGACTTCCTAAAATGGTGGGTCTTCCGAGTGGTCTTCAACATTTGACGAACCTCCGTTATCTGGAACTAACAAGTAATGAAGAACTGAGGGAAATACCGGAATGGATAAGCTGTCTGTGCTCTCTTGAAGATTTTTCATTGTATAACTGTCCCAAATTGACATATCTACCAGAAGCCCTTCGCAAGATCACCTCCCTAAATAAACTCACTATCGGAGGATGTCCAGGGTTGAGAAAAAGATGTCAACGTCCAAATGGTCTTGATTGCCACAAGTTTCAGCATGTCCCTATTGCTATTGTTAGAGACGAATGGGATTTTTCTTGTGATGGTTTTTTTTAGTTGCATCTATTTCATCATAACATAAACATTTTAAATTGGTTGTATTACTTTTCTTTTTAGTTAATAAACTCTTTCTATTGATCTTGTGGGTCCATAGGTTTATTTTCTCTATCTTTTTCATGTCTCATCTCGAAAAATGCTTAAAAGTCCGCAATTTGCAAAGTGAGAAGTTATCTTTTTTAAATATTGTATGCTACTTAATTGTTTATCACTTGAATTTGATTTCATGCCGGAGAACTTTGCAATGTTCGTATATTTAAAAATTATGTTTAAGAAAATTTGAGTTTTAACTCCAAAAAAAACATCAAAATGATTTTTAACACTATTAACAAAATAAATTATTTTAACACCACTGAAATAGATTTTACCTCTACTTAATAGTTTCCGTCGGAAATTTAGTTAAGTTGAGTCCATTATGCCATGTGTCGCCATATTATTGGTTTAAAAAAAGAAAAATAAAAAAATCCCTAAAAACTAACCCCTCCACCCTACCCTTATCGCCGGCTAGCAGTCGCCACCACTGCCCCCCTCCGACACCCACGTTCCTAGCCCCAGCCACTGGAAACTTCGCCCCCTCCCTTTCTCCCATCCCAAAACCGACAACCCCTCCCCAACAGGCACCAAAAACTGCTAGTCATGTTTCAAACCCACCATAAACGATTGTTAGCGGTCAAAATTGACCATGGCCTAAGTGGTCAATTTCGTCTATAAGCCGTTCAATTTCTTCTGGTAGGTAGCTTAAAGTCCCGAAATATCATCTGGTAGGTGGCTTAGAGCCTCGGAAATTTCATCCGGTAGGAACCTTAGAGCCCGAAAATTTAATCTGATAGGCACCTTAGAGCCCTGGAATTTTCATCCAATAGTTAGCTTAGAGGCCCAGAAATCCCTACTTTATAAAAAGTAGAAAATGACTCTTATGAATAGTGAACGAACTATTATGCCCTTCAAAATATTTATTTACCTTTTTACCCTTATCGTTAATTCTTTCTAATCCTTCCTACACTTTTTCCTGCCACACGTTACATTTCCTTACTCGTTAATTAGTTAGAGCTTTCTTTCTTCTCCATCTCTGTTCATCTTCTCCATTGAAGTATGGTTACTCTTGAGCATTTTTTAAAACTTTTTCTCTCATCTCCATCTCCATTGAGGCATTGAAGTACGGGATACTCTTGAGCTTTTTCAATTTACCACGGCAGTTAAAAATGAAGCGGCGTCACAATTATGTTGGAGGTCCGGTTTATTTAAGAAGACCTAAAATAATGGAGGGTCTTCCATCCATGGCAGATGCAAATTGGTCTTTAGTTACTCAAACCTCCATATATATCCTACCTACGTTAGAAGTTAGAGTCTTCAATTATTACTCATTTGTTTAATAAGTTTCCAATTGGTCATATCTTTATAATATTATTATGCTATTTAATAATTTTAAGTTTTACCCCTACTATTGTAGTACGAATCATAGTGAGCATTCACATTTTTTGTGTAAAGATTGAGGTTATTATCAACAAGTTTCCAGTTGCTATTAATTACAAACTATAGTAGGTATTACCAAAATTAAGTGGTTTTGTTAGAGCTCATTTGCAATTGTATAATCCTCATGTATTGACTTAATTTTTGGGGTTCATTGGACATTAACAAGTTTTTGGTTTATGGTTGGACTAGACTTGGTGGGTGGATGTCCTATGGGCTGCTTTAATAAGTACATTTGAAATTTTTAAGTAGAATCCTTCTAGGTATTAATTTTATTTCTGTGTGAATTTATATGCTAAGAGAGATTTTATATGTGAATGAAAGCATACATGAATAAGAGTTGGATGAAGTCATAGTTGCCTGGAATGTCGCTGAAAATGTTAGCCTAATGTTCACAAGGCTACAATTCTGATCTATATCACTCACAACATTTTCTTATGTTGTCATATAATCAAAAGTAATAATTGACCGGCAATAAAGATGATAATTGATAAATGTGAAAAAGTTTTTCATATGCTCAATGGAGGCCATATTTAATTTATTACACAACATCTTATGTTATCAATATGTCATAGGAAGCTTAAAATACTACTTAAAAATAATTTACAATAATTATTCCCGTTAATGAAAAACAATAGTAATCGTCCACAACTAAAGTACTCGTTGATTCCGTGCAGTTAGTCTCCAAAATTAAGAAGAATTCCTTCTCATTTGCAGCAGTTGATGGTATTTTAGAAGACATTGTTGGGGTTAGTTCGAATTTTTCTTCCATTATTTGGTCCCATGTAAAGCGTGAGGGTAATTTTGTTGCCCATCACCTAGCTAGGTTAGTGCCGTGTGGTCGTGAGCAAGTGTGGGAAAATCTTGTTCCAAATGAGGTTTCCCCGTATGTACTCTTGGACAATATTTCGTTGAATTAATTGCACTGACTGCTTTCTTTCAAAAAAAAAAAAAAAAAAAAAAAAAAAGTACTTGCTGTTTCTAAATCCACCCAAACACTGCCAGATTTTAGCTACACTTGTGATAATTATGTACACATGTGATAAATGGATATTGTCATTCCTAAACACAAGTTGGCTGCCCTAGTTTCTTAAAAATATGTTCATAATGCAATTTTTTTACCTTCTGTTAATCTTTTAGAGAAAATCTTCCATCAATATCATAAATCAATATTAACGGTTTAACACTGTATTAAAGAAAGATGAAAGTAGTTGTAAAAAAAAAATGAAAATGCATACTTAATGATGATTAGAATAATTTTTGAGTCGAAACTCTTCAAAGAGTATAGTTAATTAAAAGGGTAAGATTGGAAATATATTTTTCCATAAAAAAGTTCTTTTGTTCTACGGAGTACATTTGAAATTTTTTATCATGGAGGCGAATGCACCATGCTCTGTGCATCCGATTTTCTTTAAAAAAAAAAGGCGGAATGAATATATAATTGTTCAGTAAAGAACATATAGTTGTTTTGTAAATAATATATAGTTATTTTATAAAGAACATCAAATATGGTTGTTTTGTAATAAACATATAATTGTTTTGTAACGAACATATAACTTTTTTTGTTAAAAAAAACATCCAGCTTTATGTTCTTTGTATATATTTAAAGAACATCCATTAATAAAGAGCATGATAATATAATGTAATGAATATTATTTTTATTCAATAATAATAATAATAAAAAAACATAATAGTATTTTTTAAAGAACATTTAGCTTTTCAATCTTTAAATGAATTATTTAACCCATAGATGAAGAGTTTTGGTAATTATCATTTGTTTGAATTTTTTAGAGAGAGGAATAAAAATTTTAGAGAGAGAAATAGAAAATTTATAGAGAAAAAGAAATTCTTCTAATAGAAGACGATGGCTGAGCATTTAGATCGAGTTTCGTGGTGTTTTTAATCATTGTTTGTTAATGGAGTGATTTTTAATGAATTGAAGGTGAATATGTGGATTTGTTAATCAAAGATTGAAGGTAATTTTGAATGAAATTTTGTATTTATTTTTCTTTAATTGTGTTACTTTAGATTTGAATTAGAATATTTTGTAATCATAAAATTCATTGTTTATTTTCTTTTTAAAATTTAATGAATCTGAATATAGATGTTGAATTTGAGAATAATGTGACAAAGGTTGAAGATGACGTTCTTTATAAGATAGTGTTATGTTCATTTTTTTAATTTTTACAATTCTATAATATGTTCTTTTCACCTTAACTAAAATGTTCTTCATAGAAGGTGGCTAGGAGAGGAGATAAGGTCTGTTACTGATTCCTCTAGTGAATCCTTCCTAGAAGGTGGCACATAGGTTTTGGGTTTACAGCTTAGCCTTTGTAAGTTGTAATTTTTCACCTTTTTGGTAAAAAAATCTTTATTTGCCAAAAAAAAAAAAGTTCTTTTTATCTAGCTAAATGTTTTTTACATCTATATATAATATTCTTTTTGTGCTTTTTTGGGAGCGGATGTACAATATGCACCATGCTTATTGTACATCTGCCTCTACGAACCGCTAATTGACTTACATTTAGGTGATTAAAGTAAAAAATGTTTGATTTGTAGGGTTGGGTGGCATCCTCATCAAACTCGTGGTCACATTTCCTTCCTCTCACCACATCTCCCCAACAGTCGGTGTTTCCTTCCAAATCCCTCCCTTAAACCCCTCTCATCCTCATTTCTCTAATTCTCTCCATTTTCTCAACCCTACTATTATTCTTCCATTAATCAAAGGAAATTCCATTTTATCATTTTATCTCAATTACTTCCCAATTAACCCAATTTCAAAACCCTAATTTTACTTTCTCTCTCCTCTTTGCAATCCCCATTTCTCGCCCAGGTACTCTTCAATCCAATTTCCTGGATTTCTGTTCTTCATTTGTTTGAGATTCAATTGATTTTGAATTCCTGTTTTTCAATTTTATTTTGAGATTTCTCCTTTTCATTTCACAGAATGACTTTCTCGAAGCATCTAATCTCCAAACTCCGCAACCTCCAACCCATCTCTCAAACCCTAATCCGCCCCTTCTCCACCGCCGCCGCCGCCGCCACCGTCGATACACCGTCAGAAGACTCACCCATCTCCATGAAAGGGGTCAAAATCTCCGGTCGCCCACTCTACCTTGACATGCAAGCAACCTCTCCGGTTGACCCACGTGTCCTCGACGCCATGCTCCCCTTCTACATCTCCCAATACGGCAACCCCCATAGTCGGACCCACCTTTACGGTTGGGAATCCGAAGCTGCCGTCGAAACAGCACGCACCCAAGTGGCGCGTCTAATCAACGCGTCACCCAAGGAAATCATCTTCACCTCCGGCGCAACAGAGTCCAACAACATATCCGTTAAAGGGCTTATGCACTTTCACCGGACAACCAAGCGCCACGTCATCACTACTCAGACGGAGCACAAGTGTGTATTGGATTCGTGCCGTCATCTCCAGCAAGAGGGGTATGAGGTTACTTATCTTCCTGTTGAGAAAGATGGGCTTATTGATTTGGGTAAGTTGAGGGATGCGATTCGACCCGATACTGGGTTGGTTTCGATTATGATGGTGAATAATGAGATTGGAGTGATTCAACCTGTTGATGAGATTGGGAAGATTTGTAAGGAGTTTAATGTTGCGTTTCATACGGATGCGGCGCAGGCGTTGGGGAAGGTGCCGATTGATGTGGAGAAGATGAATGTGAGTTTGATGAGTTTGAGTGGGCATAAGATTTATGGGCCTAAAGGGGTTGGGGCGTTGTATATTAGGAGGAGGCCTCGGGTTCGGGTTGAGCCGCAGATGAATGGGGGTGGGCAAGAGAGGGGGATAAGGAGTGGGACTGTGCCGACTCCGTTGGTTGTCGGTTTCGGGGCTGCTTGTGATGTGGCGTTGAGGGAGATGGAGTATGATGGGAAGAGGGCGAAAGTGTTGCAGGAGAGGTTGTTGAAGGGGATTAGAGATAAGGTGGATGCTGTGGTTGTGAATGGTAGTGCTGAGAGGCGGTACCCGGGGAATTTGAACTTGTCGTTTCGGTTTGTTGAAGGGGAGAGCTTGTTGATGGGGTTGAAGGAGGTGGCGGTTTCGAGTGGGAGTGCTTGTACTAGTGCTAGTTTGGAGCCTAGTTATGTGTTGAGGGCGCTTGGGGTGGATGAGGAGATGGCTCATACCTCGATTAGGTTCGGGATTGGGAGGTTTACCACGGAGGAAGAGGTTGATAAGGCGGTCGAGTTGACTGTGAAACAGGTTCAAAAGTTGAGAGAGATGAGCCCTCTTTATGAAATGTATCAGCAAGGGATTGATATTAAGAGCATTCAATGGTCTCAACACTGAGCTTTGAAGGGTTTGATCAATTGATTGGCTGAATGTGGGCATCTGTAATGTAGACATCCTGTATATTAGAAGAGCAGCTCAGAGCGCGAGTTCGGCTGTCTAAAAACAGGTTTATCTCTTATACCAATTCGAGCTTTGAATTGCTTTATAGACTTATTTTGAGTATGTATCAACTATATGAGCCAGGATTGTTGAGAGCTGATTGTCTTTAAACCAAACATTACCTAGGCTTATAATAGTATGTAAATTACTCTACGAGAAATCTTTTTGAACTTTGCAATGGTAATAAATGGCACGTGTTTGTTACATCTATTTTGCAAGTTCTTGTTATGTGTTGCCCTTTGTGAATATTGTGGTTTTGTAATTTTGTTGTTTGTAATCATTGAACAAGTATGGTTTGCCTGACAATGATAGGAGCTCGTGTAGGTTCGAATTGCTTAAATGCTACTCAGATACAGTGCTTAGTGTTCATCATATTTAGTTTACTTCTGCTCTGTATCTCAAGTAGAGTTGGGATGCTTTCTTAATCTGAGTACTGCAGTCCTTTACTACAATACTTGTTAAAACAGAAGTATACTTCACTACATCAGATAAATTGTCTGGAGTTCAATTTCACACCATTCTGTAAAGTTTAATTCAGTCAATGGTCCTATATTCCTGGTCGATACTGACTAGTCCAATGAACCAGAACTTTTGGTTTCCTTGTTTGTCTTCTGGATATAGCCTTTGCTTGGACTCGCTTTTGTAGTCGTCAACTCCCATGGTTATTGGGTTGATCCGTGATTATTTGTGCCTGTAGGCTGAGAATCATAATGTCACATTAGAATCAGTGTGTATACATCATACATATATCAATGTCGGTAATAA